ATTGGATTGGCAATCCTTCCTATTGGCCACAAAAATTGTACTAGTAATTATCTTTGCAACAAAAAATTTAATTTCATATAATTTAGTGATAGATTATGATTGATAAGGAATTTTTACAATACAACTTTTGTTGACCTCCCCACGTGTGGGGTATAAAATAAGAACAATAAACTCAGGCCCACATAACCAAATTTGACTGCAACTTTTTTATTGTTATATATATAATCAAGTTTCTAAATCGAATTGAATTATAATACATGATTTTATAATTTTGTTCGAATTGAATTAATCTCATTTTAATAAAAAAAAATATATGTGGTGTATTTCGATTGATAGTGTTTCACGCTTATTGGATCAATTGTCGGTGGTAACATCTTTTTTATTTTGGTTCACCCTCTAATAACAGTGATGGTGTTACAGACTATTAAAATTATCTTGTCTAAAAGATTTGAAGAGTATGTAGGATAAGTAAAGACGAAAAGTCTATAACAGTGAAAAATATTTTTTTATTAATTTAAGGTGATTATAGGGTAATATTTGTTCTAAAAATTCTCAATCATTTGACAATAAAGGCTAAAATACTCTTGTAATCTATAATACTTGAACCTAAGATTTTTAGAAATAACAACCATTTTTAACCCTTTAGATAACTTCATCTGTGTAAGTGAAAAATATTCTTTATATTAACACAAAATGAATTTTTTTTGCCATCAATTAACAACAACAATAATAAAGACTCGTAATTCATAAAACATGTTGATTGACTTGATGAGTAGGAGTTCATCAGTTGGAGTCCAAGACATAAAGGTTAAAAATAAATGATCTTGAGTTTACTTAGAAAAAACTCTGAACTCGATAAATTTTACTGTTAGCATTCAATATATGTAACTTATTTACTTTTAAGTATAGGACATATATTTCAATTGTCCTACAAGTCTTAATTATATTTATAATTGAATCAAACCATAATTAAAGAATATAATTTTTAAAATATTATTTTTATCTATAAAATTCAAACTTAAATTCTTTTTAAAAGGATATCAAATTAAACCAATAAACATCGAAAAAAAATGACAAATTTGACTACAAGAGACATCTAGATGTTCAAATGTTTGACTGTAAGTGACATGTAGACGTCCGGAAGTTGTGTATATACTCTATTACACCTTTGTATTTCGAATTTTGGAAGCTGGCACTATTACTATAATTAAAAATAAATGTAAAATTTTATATTAAAAATAACGAATTTATAAAATTTCAAAGATATATTTTTAATTTATTCCTGACTACCACCGTTCCCTCTTAATGATAATGTGATGTTTCAGATTATCTGTGAATCGATTGCCGTAGTCACCTTTGATAGATTATATAGTTGTTGAAGTTTTTCACAATTTTTTATAGATTAATTCATCGTTGATTGATCTAATGCACCAAGTTGTGTGTATGGATATAGTGGTTGACCGATGCCCTTTGATTATTATTATTATTATTATTATTATTATTATTATTATTATTATTATTGTTATTCTTATTATTATTATAAGAATAATAATAACTCTGTAGTAAATGAAACATGTTTGACTACTAAGGGTGGAGTCATAAAATTTAGTTTGAAGTCTCAAGATTTAAAGATGTAGGATTTTGTTTAAAATGAGTGTAAATAAATAATGGGTGTTAATTTATATTAAATTTTTAATATTTTTTAAGAAACATAACTTTATTTTTAATAATTTTTATATTAAATTTATAGAAAAGATTTTAAAAAGAACTTAAAGTGTAACACCCTCCGCCCATATTTAGTGATGACTGATGAGAACAAGTAACAATGCATGATTGTGAGTTTGTTTAAAGAAAACTTCTAAAGACGATAAATTAATTTGTTAGTATACAAAATACGTAACTCGTCTACTTTTATGTTTAAATTTCCGTGTTCAGTTGTCTTATAAGTCTCAGTTATATTTAGAGTTGAATCAAATCTCTTATCAAGTGGTAAAACTCCTAGAAAACGTTGCTTTAAATCTATAAAACTCACAAATCATTTTACCAGTTGTGAATTGAGTGCATGCATATTTGATATAATTTGTCCACACTGAACTATAAAAGAGGGATTAATTTGTTGATGGGAGTGTATTCTATTCTTATGGTATAAGTTCGTTGAACTGCCAGGTTTTTGAATATCCTGGTTGTACGCACTCTTTTCCTCAATTTAGAATTAGGGAAGTTTTTAATAAAATGTCCCGCCTAGACCTTTTACTTCATTTCAGTAAAATATTTTATATCTATCCCTGTATGTATAATATTATAAATTTAACCAAAATTCATGTATACATTTGATAGTCATCTAATTACTATAACGTTAAGTAAATAACCTCAGTCGCAATCCTTAATTTGCATTTATGATAGAATGAATATAACCCTTTTTGTTTTCCTTTAGGTTTTGGCTTTATTATTATCAAAGAATAAGTGGCTCTGACTCTGAATATTCTTCACTAACCAGAGGTGAGCGAAACACGTGATCTTGTCTTTAGCAGTTTTTTCTAACAGGACCATGCTATAAACGAATAGATAAACTACTTTAGAAGTGATTTAATTATCAGTAAATTAACACGAGGTAAGCGATTTTAGTGATTAAGAAATTATTATTATTTCTTAAGGTTTCGAGTTTGAGCACGACGTTTGCATGAGTGTATGAGTATTCATTATTAAATGATTAAGGATATTTCAAACAAATATTATCTTGCATTCACTGCAGACTAATGAAACAAAAAAAATTAAAAAATTAATATTTTACTCATCGAATGGTGAAAAGTTAAAAAGTAATCATTTATAATCTTTAAAATCAAGAATTTTACGTGAATTTTATATAATAATAATAAAATAAACAAATTATTTATTCGCTTAGACTCAATTATCAAGTTAAAATCGGGTCAAAGTTTTGTTTGGATATGGTAAACTAAATTTGGGTTGCTTTCAGTTCTAGTTTTCTCGGTTCAGATTGCTTTCGGTTCGGGTTATTTTCAGTTTGAATTGATTCTGATTCGGGTTATTTTGGGTTTCTGATTAATTTTAAATCATCTTATTCAGGTCTATACCGGGTCTTGGTTTGAGTATATCGGTTTGAATAACCGGGTACGAATCAAATTTGTCAAGTATGCTCAGAATCCCATATATCTCTTAATCTGTAGTCCGACCTTTAGTGGAAAACTTAAGGGAAAACAGATAAAAAAATAACTATGACTTTTAATAGTTGTTAAATTATGAAAATTAAAAAAAACACAAAATTAACAACTTTATTGAGATACAAGAGAATATACAATTTAGGGGCATTGAATTGAAATGAAAGCCAATGATCAGTAGCAAAAGAGAACCGTGTACACTTGGGGAACTTGCCTTTTAGACCACATTCTAAGAATTTTCAACTTTTGCCAATGGACTATGATGTATACATCCACTGAATGAAATCGTCAATGAATTGAAGAAATGAACATCATTTGCTCAAACCATGTACCTCAAATATTGACAAAATTGCTGCAAACCATTTGAAATAGGAAGATCATTTCCCCTTAGTGATCAATGGTCAGAGATGCTCATCATGTCAATTTTCTGAGATGCTTTCATTCTTTGAAATGAAAAATTTATTAAAATTCCATGTTACAACATATGCACATATCTTGACTCAGAACATTGCATTTTAATGAATACAGAAATGGAACATTTCTAGCTGTAGATACACTAATCTTACAACAAGAATATCAGTAAGAAGAGAAAACGCAAATGGAAGTTATTTGAAATGGGTTGCCGGGGTATAATTTTCACATCCTACATACCTCACAAGAATCTGATAAAATGATTTCCTACTCCCAAAAGTATGTTGCTCTTTGCGGAACCGATGATAGGTTCAAGTTCTGATTAGTCCTTCGTCTTCGTGTATCTGCTCACCACATTGCCAAGAGCATTTATCAATGACTGGATCAAAAATTGTGCCCACTTTTGGGTCATTTATGGAGTTAACAACGACCTGCAGAGAACCATGTTTAGGCAGCTTCTTATCATATCATGACAGATTTAGTGGATGAAAGGAAACGCCAGAATAGAGCTGTTGAAGTGTTTAGGTTGGGGAGTACCTTAGTCATTAGCACTAAACGTTTGAATATAAATACATAGGATAGGAGACTACCACATTGGTAAACTACGGATTCCTCATCAACATGAATCACTCGAGTATACGGATCGTAACACTAATCAGGAGGATAGGGTTTCGACAAAGGTAGCAGATAGAAGACAAGCTTCCCCAGGAAACTCAAGGAAATGGCAGGGATATTTCTATTATAGGATTGGTTAAAATTTTTAATATTGAAATTGGATAAGTTAATCTTGATATTATTCAGGTAGTCCTGCTTTTGGGGACATAAGGTCGAGATTAGCTGATGAAAGCACTTCCGAAAAGATTGCTTGGTCATCGTTTGCATATTAATCCACAGCAAGACAAGTCGGAATGGAAGTGTTTACCTCTAATAATTTTCCAGTAGTACTTTCATTTCAACACTGTTGATTAAGTCATTTATATTAATCTCAACTTTGGCTTTTATCTGTTTTATTAGCAAACATTCAGTAATTCTTGTGTTTCTTGACAAGTTTCTGATCTAGTCCAAGATTTTTCCATAGTTTTTTGAACTGTTAATATATTGTTTGTCATTCTGTGTAAACTTATCTTTAGGTCTTACTAGGCATTGGGGAAATAATTTCTTCTGGGTCCTGTCCTAAGGTATCAACCTATTGAGCCATTAAAGACATATAGAACTGATTTGTCAGAAGGGTGTATAAAACATATAAATATATAAAATTCTTTGAGCATTTGATTTAATGCTTGTTTATAAATTATAATTAATCCTAATATTATCTGATTAATTAATACAAGCAAATACTGCAATTCAGAAGAAAAACAAGTTGGCATCAAGCTTTTACTCGACTGCCTAATTCTCTCCATCTCTATACATTTTGAACCAATGGAAAACTTTGTCTCTGTTTTTATTCTCAAAACCATTATAATTTTATCTAAATAATCTCCCAATCCGATTCAGAAAATCCCACCTCTTGTGATTTTGACTTGGTGGTGTCACTGAATAGTTCATGGCTGTTTCCTTTCTCCTTGCTAGGTCTTGGATGTCGTTCATTGTACAGCTTCAATAACCTCGACTTCGAAGAAAAAGACTCCCGAAACTTCTTCTGTTCCAGAAAACAACTTGGAATGTTAGATTCGACTAAGCATCTGTGCCAGAGATGTTCATGTCAAGCTAAACATCTGAGAGGAGTCTGAATTTACTGAAAGTTCGAGAGAGGGTAAGAGTATACTACCTTGAATGATCGGCGCTCCCGTAATTCATTCGATAGAGAATAGAGCTCACTGCTGTCAACTATAATGCAGCTTTCTTCAAGCTTTACCTTATTAAAAGATGGAACTGGGACAGCTTCTAGTTCCAATTTTGGAACAGATTTATGACTAGCCTCTTCTGAAACAAAATCATTTAATCACATTATAATGGTACAAAAGAATCACTATTAAATAAAAAAATGGTGGTTTTCTTCCTGTGATTCCAGAACTGAATGCAACGGGTTACGTCTAACCCTGAGTCTTAGATAATGACTGCATGCAGCATATATGGGAATGAACAAAGAGCATCCAGGATAAAGAAAAAAACCAATCTTACTGACCAATGATATAATCGAATATATCTTACCAATGAAATGCATATGTACCTTTTGATTCTAATACTGTGTCGTCTGGAGTACAATCGATGCCTAGAGCTTCAGTCTTACAGGTTTGAGCCAAGGCACACTCATTCTCTGCACAGTGCTCTGAAGATAAACACAAATGTGTATCCTCAACATATTCAACAGAAGAGGCATGGATCAATTTCTTCTTAATGCGCTCTTTATCAACACTGCTGTTAGAATCTTCATGGGCTACATCAGCATTTTGCACCAGAGAAGTGTTAAGATCTTCCTTTGGATTGGTAGGAGATGAAGGGAGCACTTCTTGCATCAGTTCTGTACAGAATTGTTTAACATTAGCTCCCACTGTCTGCAACTGGTCTTCAACATACTGAAATGTTTCCTAACATCAAAATTCTGAGATATTAGCAGCATTGATGCAGAAAATAACGGCACCGATACGAAACTTTATTGAAGTACACCAAAGCAGAAAAGGTGTCGATATTTTAACTTTGTGAGAGCAAAATGATGAATGTTAACCCATACCTGGCAGACCATATCATCCATCTCCAAGCACATAGCTTCAAACTTCTGATAAATGTTTCCTACCCAAGCTATGCCTTTAGATTTTCCCTCCATACTGAGCTCAAACATGGACGTGTTAGTTCACTTTTCCGACACAGTAGCAGGTTTAATCCACTAGGGATTTACATAAACTGTGAAATGCCGTGATTTAAGAAATTAGGTTAGGGAAAGTATCCCTCCAAGTACAAAGAAGACACATTTCATCAACTCGTATAAACTTCATTTCCCAGACACAGATGAGGAAACATTATATTTCCAGCACTGCTCATGATCATAGTTCACTTCTAGGAAAGGGGACCAACTAGTTAGAAATACAAAAACAACTAAGACTTGGGGACCAACTAGTTAAAGAACATATAGACAAGTCTCTGAAACTGTGGTTTAGCAGTCGAAAGCACCCGGAAATCTTTGTTTTGAGTGGCAACATCTAGAACTGAATCAAGTTAAATAGTTGTAAGAGTTTTGAAAATTCTGAAGCTGATATAAGAAAACAAAAATTAAGATGAATGATAAGAAATAACAAGGATTAAACTAGTTCCTTTTTACACGAAATTAATTCTTTTATTCTCAAATAGGTGAAGGTTTATTCAACTGTCAACTACAGAGGGACTGCTTCAAAGATTTAAAGAACTCGAGAGTAAGAGAAAATTTTCCCTTCAAAATTTGAACCCAAAATCTAAAGAGAGGAGCAATAAACAAGTCTTATTCAAGACCAAAACAGGAAAAAAAATAAAAAAGACAAACTTGAGCAAAAGAAAAAGTATTTCATAAAAATGATCACGCAGAAGCAGAAAATTTAATGAAATCAAAAACCCAGATGATCAACAGGTAAGAAGATGATTCTCAGTTAACTGGTAGGGTTTAAAAAAAACCAATGGTAGATGATCAATTCAAGGGCCTCCGAGAGTTGTTAATGATTACTGGGCAGGAACTTGAGGATGAACTAAAAAGAAAGCTTAACAAAATTACGGAAGAAGTAGAGAAGAAAATCTACCTTTTTTTAACTTACGGGTCTTTCTTTTAGCGTCGAAAAGATCGAAGAGAAGATTCTGAATTAAACCCTTGATCAGTCTCTGCCCGAACCCCAACTCTTTAAGTACAACAGAAATACGGCTCGTATTACTCGGAAAAAATTAAAAACCTGGAAGCATAGAAAATAGGGTAAATTATCCTATGGTCACTAAATTATGAGGTTGATTTTAATTTGACCACTTAACAAAAATTGCTGTCAATTAATGTCGTTAAATTGTCAAATTTAATTTCAATCGGGTCACCAACATTTAACTATTATTCTAATAAAATTTAAAAATGAATTAGAGTTTTTATACCCATAACACACTATCATTCTAATTATTTTAATTTATATTGATGTCCCTTCGATTATTTTCTACTTGTAAATTCCTACGATTCAAGTTATGAAGTTTCACAATAATTTCTTATTATGAATTTATTAGTGATATTAGAAACAAACAATAATTTTTTACTGCAACGATTTTTAAATTGCAGGGAAGTATTCTCAACCGATCTAATGGTGTTTCAAAAAATATTATATAAGAATTAAAGTTGTTGTAGAATTGCCGATACTACTTCATCAGATATTTGACTAACGTAAAAATTGGAGTTGTAGGATACTTAAAGATCATTTTTTGGGTAGAAAGTGTCAAGGGGGAGATTGTTACATGTTGGCTTAAAATTTAAAAAATAATTAAGTTTTATTTTAATTTTAACGATTGGTGATTTGGTTTATTTATGTAAAAATTCTTATAATATAAAGATTCTTGGTGATTGAGTTTATTTTCTTTATGAATATAGAGAATGTTTTAACCTTTAAAATTATAATATATAATTATTTTGGAGAGATATAATTATTCTTGTGATCTCTTTAACTTTTAAAGTTGATGTTGTAGAGAAGAGTTTATATAGATATTGCAAAATGAGATACACTAGTTTTTGAGGTACATATTGATTATGGGATACAAGAAAATTTCATATATTTGTGCTTTTGTGATCTCTTTGAAAATAGACGAGACCAAATCACGTTAATTTCCACCTCGTTGCATGTATCTTATTTTATATTAATATTGTTTTGATTACTTCTTTTTCGTTAACAAAATTTTAACATCCTACCTAATACAGTACTTTCTCATAATCTTAACATAGAATTTTTTTTGTGCTTTTGTTTATTCGGAACTCCTAAATTTTTGGTACCAATTGTTTGCAATGTTCCTTTTTGACCAAAGAAAAACTTTCATCATCTTTCCCATTATTTGTTATAATTACATCCCACTTGCAAAACAATTGCACCCCTCCAAACCCAACAAAAATAGATCACCAAAGTGTTTTTACAAGTAGCTAGAAATAGCACTTTAGAAAGGCAAGCTTTTAGAGCTTGTACTGAGGACCAATGACTTGAGATTCGAAGCATCAACACCCCCACCAGCATTGGCTCTTCGAGTAATCATTTCCATATTCTTATGAAGACTTTGCTTCACCAAACTCTTCATCATTTTCTCCCTTCTTGAGCCTCCTTGGGATGCATAGGTGAACCCATTGCCACCCTTCCCGTCTGTGGACCAGAATGAGGTCCCATCTTCACTTGCCTCTCATCTTTAAACCATTGCAACAACTTCATTGCTCTCCTTTGAGCTAAAAGGCTTCCCATCAAGGACACTTCCACAAGTACCGGAACGATCCCGGCTTTCGACATTTTATCCCTTTGAGTCGAGCTTTGATGGCCTAAAATCATTAGAATGTAAGCCGATGCTTCTTGGCATTTCGGTTTATCCTCCCATGTTAGAATCTCGATCAAGCTCTCCGGTACCATCGAACTATCTTCCATTGCCTTTTTACCCATTAAAGTCACCACCAAATGACCTAATGCCGCAAGCGCTTTCTCCGAAAGCTCTTTCAATGAACATAGCTTCAAGAGCGTGTGGACCACTCCATTAGACCCCAAAAGTGCAGCATTTTCTAAAACAGCTGATAGGTTATATATAACACCTAGACAAAGTTGCTTGGTTTTAAAGCTAGAAGATGACTCAAGAATGCCAATGAGGAATTGGAGGATCTCGGGCTTGTTGACAGAGAAATGGGTATTTTGTATAGAAGATAATGATAGTAACAGTTCTGCAAAATCGTGCCTTGTTTGTTCATCTACAAAGTTAATGTCCTTCGGTAACTTTGACAATATCCCAGCCTCTAGCATTAAAGCCTTGTTTCTGAAAAAGAAGAGAAAAAAAAGGTTAGGAATCAAAGTACAAAGTGATTAAACTTTTGATCTAAAATGTTTTACAAATGCAACCCAAAAGTTGAAGTCAACAATGACATCTAAACTTCTGTTGAATAATAGATGATAAACCAATAGTGCTCCATTATTGCATAGAATATGATTCACTAAATAGAAAGAAAATAGAAAAAGCTTGTGGGAGTAGACTTAACCAACAAGTTAGATTCAGATTTAAATATAAATATCGGATATTAAACTATTAAGTGACTTCAGTTCTAAAAGTAAATATTATTCTCCTTATAGAATTTGGGCATAAATAACTGTGTCTGCATTGTGTGCCCGTGCGTTGTCAATACTTGATATGCTAAGAAAAATTCATTAAAAACTCCCACCATCATGGGAACCCGGTCGACATGCAGCGCAGCTCGTGGTCAAGAAGATCATTAAATACAACCATTTGCTTAATTACAAGAAATAATGCTTTGAAGCTCCGAGTCCAACTCATGTCATGAGCTGTAAATTTCATTTTCATTCCCATTAATGTCTAAAAGTTAGGGCTAAAGCTATATACGCTGAAATGCACATGGCAAATCTCGAAATCTTAAATGTCAATGGTCAATTCTTTGAAGAGTTTAAATCCATTGAATGAAGAGTCTCATGATCCTAGAAATAATCCTACATTATTATTATATGTATAACGTATGAGATTTTATAAACTAATGTAACAGCCTGGAGCTTGGATGAGAAAGGTTTAAGCTAAAATCCAGGGTAATTTATTGTATCATTAATCTCAGCAGATGCATATCAGCTGAGAATCTGGGCACCATGTATCCCTTCTGTCAAAGGAAAATGACCTACCACGTGAAGTAACCCTGCCCTTAAAAGGTCAAATAATTGGGGGTATACCCTCTAAGAGGGCTCCCCTCAAAAATATTTTTACATAATTATGAATTTAATCAACCATATGGGGTACCCGTTGTACCTATCCTGATGAAATGCATGCGTCCAATGAAATTTAACTTACATCTTCCAGGACAAGAACATGAAGAAGCTACTTACATGAATGTTCCATTAGCAAGCTCGATCAGCGCTTTGGTGGCGGCTCGATGGCGACCAACCATCTCGGCATCCACCATGGAAACAAGCATATTTATGACTCCAAGCTCTGCCATCAGCTTCCTCGCCTTATCGTCTTCTCTAGCGAGTTTCTCGATCGCGATAGCCGCCGTCTCTTTCTCTTCCCAGCTCCCAAAGTGAAGACTCTTCACTGATTTCTGCAACACCACGGAACCATCGAGCTTGATTTCTTTCTCCGTGACTAGCTGACTATCTTCCTCTTTATCATTCTTTATTCTTAACCTGTTAAAATGATCAGACGACGACGAATCGGATCGTTTCCTTGTTGCTTTGTTTTGCAAATACCTACGGATTCTAGTAAAGAACTTGAGCTTTCTATAAGAAAGTAACCAATTAGAACACGAAGGAGAAGAAGTAGACATGATTTGAAATTGAGAGGGAGACAAATAAAAATTGATCAACTGTTTTTAAGGGTTCGTTGAAAAACTTAAAGAAAAGAGAATATAAAAGGGTGACTGAGAGACAGGACAGGAGACTTCTGTCCTAAAAAAGAAGAGTGAAGGGGAGCATATATCACATGCCATGGAAACACTGTTGTCTCTTTAACCTTGGGAAGCACTGACAGATATTTAAGACAACAGATTTCTCTGCTTGATTTGGGTTTTAGGATTACTTCCTATATTGCCCCGTCGAGTAGCAGTTTAATCTGCAGAATGGCAAAAATTTATGTGAGAAACTGAGGGTTAATATTCTAATTATGAATTTAAGACTACGGATTTGTTCCTTCTGGGTACATTCCAGGAAGGTTCTTTCACGTATCAAAATAATGACCACATGGATTTTTGAGCGAAGATTAAATTCTTGCTTGAAGGTTTTCTTTAATAATCACTAGTATTCGATTTATTAATCGATTATTCTAAATAGAACATTACAAAAGTTCATTATAAGAATTAGTCTCCCAATCCAATATACTACATTTATAATATCATAATTCGAATTCCTAATCTTACTTAATCTAATGCCTCAATCCATTAAAACAACTATTTATTATTCTTGCTTCAAGTTCTTAGAAACCAAATCTGGGTTTTGTTGCAAATCAATGTTGAGGGCATGTGGGATTCAGGAACAAATAGCTTTCCATGCCCCCAACATGAACAGCAGGTCCATATATTTTATGTGGAAAAAACTTTTAA